TGTTGTTATGTGCTGTTGAGTCGGCCCCGACTCATAGCGATCCCTCCTTGGGTTTCCGAGGCAGTATCACTACGGAAGTAGATTGCCCTATCTTCCTTCCGAGGAGTGGCTGGTGGGTTTGAACCGCCAGCCTTCTGGTTAGCAGTCAAGTGCCTTAGCCACTATGCTACCAGAACTCCAGCCACTCCTCGGAAGTAAGGTTGGGCAATCCTATTTCTGTAGTGATACTGCCTCAGAAACCCAAGGAGGGGTCGCTATGAGTCAGGGCTGACTCAACGGCACATAACAACAACAACAAAGTTAACCTATATTATTGTGCTATTTAAGGAGCTCTGGTGGCATACTGGGTAAGGCATTTGGTTGCTGACTAGAAGGTTGGCAGTTCAAGTGCTATGTGTGAGGAAGATGAGGCAGTGTATTTCTGTAAAGATTTGCAACCTTGGAAACCCAGTGGTGGTCGCTATGAGTCTGAATCAACTCAATGGCAGTGAGTTTGGATTTTTTTTTTGTTTATTGTGCTATTTAGGAGTCCTGTGGCACTGGTTAAGTACTTAGCTAGCTGCTAATCAAAGGGTAAGCAATTCTAACACACCAGCCACTGTGGGAGAAGGTGTGGCAGTCAGCTTCCATAAAGATTCATAGCCTTGGAAACCCAAGGGCTGTTCTCAGTTTTGCTAACTTTTGCTTTTTCTAATTCTTCTATCTTTCCCTTTACCTAGTTATATAATTATAACAACTGTCAGTAGAAGTTTTCTTATTCTCCTGAAAACAAAACCAAGAAAGCCTTCAACCTGATCAGGTTTATTTCACCAGTAACTTTATTTTAGACATGAATATTAGGCAAATATGGTTGAGAGTAGTAATTATTACCCTTTAGAAGTACTTTTTTTAAACTCCATGGTGGAATCTGCTGTGAGCAGCTGACTAGCTGCTTTTGGGTATGTGGTCTGCTTCCCCTATTTAAGAAACAGCTTGGACCCTGCATGTGGCCATGCCATTGTTCAGCAGTCTACCATGCTCTGCCAACCTTGGGATTTTCAGTGGACTTGAATGAATGGCCTGCTGTGTGGTTTGGTAACATTGTTAGTGTGCCATTTTATTTGTTGACCTTGGGCTTGTTAGCCTAAGCAGCCAGTAGCTGCCTGAGTGAAGAGATGCCTCTAGCTTCAGTGGGCTGAGAGCAAGAGGTAGAGCTGAAACCCAAGGTCAAGGGGCTTTCACACAGCCCCTGGCACTTTGAACTTGGACTTAAAGCCTCCAAATTGTAAGAATAAACTCGTTTGTTAAGGTCATCTCATTTGTGATACATTCTTGTCAGAGCAGCACTAGGTAACCAGAACAACAAGTGTATATGTAAGACTGTCTTCAGCCAGATCTATCCTTGGTCTTGGATACATTCCTGTTTGCCTACGCACACCTGATCTTCTCACTTGTCTATGCATTTACCCGTAGCCTAGTGTTTGCTGGTAGTGCAGTATTGTGCATATTATAGTTTTTACTTCTGTTTTCTATATCTTTTGTGTACGTTTCTGTGTCCTCCTTTTCGTGCTGGTCACACAATTTTGTTACATTACCTTTCCCTTCACCCATATCAACTCTTAACTAGTCAGAAATTTTCCCTTCCTTTCCTCCTGTCCTACGTAACCAACAAAGTATATTTCCTTCCCTGAGTAAACCTTTCCTTGACTTTTTACAGTAGTGGACTCATAACAATATTTGTCCTTCTGTGATTGACTTATTGCACTCAGCATAATGTCTTCCAAATTCATCCACATTATGTGGTGATTCATGGATTCTTCATTATTCTTTAATGTTGCATAGCATCCCATTGTGTGACTGTACCATAGTTTGATTATCCATTCATCTGTTGATGGGCACTTAGGTTGTTTCCATTTCTTAGCTCTAGTGAATTGTGCTGTGATGAATATGGGTGTGCATATGTCTCTTTGTGCCCTGGATCTCACCTCTTAGGATATATTCTTAGTAATAGAATTGCTGGATCAAGTGGTATTTCCATTTTCAGTTTTTTGAGGAAATGCCATACTGTTTTCCACAGTGGCTGTGCCATTTTACAATCCCACTAGCAGTGTAGGAGAGTTCCAGTCTCTCTATACTCTCACCAACATTTGTTATTTTCTGTCTTGTTGAACTTAGCTGTTATTACTAGAGTAAGATGATATCTCATTGTTTTGATTTGCATCTCTCTAATGTCTAATGATTGTGAGCATTTCCTCATGTGTTTGTTGGCTGCCTTCAGTGAAGTTTCTATTCATGTCTTTTGCCTATTTTTGAATTGCATTGTCTGTTTTTTTGGTGTTGAGGTGTTGAACTTTTTCTATAAATTTTAGAGATGAGTCTGTTGTCAGATATGTCATAGCCAAATATTTTTTCCCAATCTATAAGTTCTCTTTTTACCCTTTTGGAGAAGTATTTTGCTGCACATAAGAATTAAATTTTTAAAAGGTGCCAGTCATCTAGTTTCTCTTCTGCTGCTTGTGCACTTTGGGTTATGCTTTATTGTTTATTTATGCCATAATCAGAGCCCCTAGGTTTGCCCTTATTTTATCTTTGATGAACTTTATATGGTTTTGGGTTTTACATTTAAGTTTTTATCCATCTGGAGTTCATTTTTGTGTAAGGTATGAAGTAGGTCTTGTTTCATTTTTCTGCAAATGGATATCCAGTTTTGCCAGCACCATTTGTTAAAGATGCTATCACTCCCCCATTTAATGTGTTTTGGTCCTTTGTCAAACATTAGCTGTCTATAGATGAGTCTATTTCTAGGTTCTCAATTCTGTTCCACTAGTCTGTTTGTGTATCATTGTACCAATATCTTGCCAATTGGCTATATAGTAGGTTTTGAGATCAGGGAGTCTTTTTCTTCTTCAGCAGTGCTTTGCTTATGTG